CCTATGATTACACAAAAGGAAAGATGCCTTTCTTGGTGGAAACACTCCACACTTCCTCTATCACAACAGAGTACAACCCTCTGGAAGAAGCTGTGGCTTTTAAAATCCATGCTTCCATTGCAAAAGGTACTGTTCTTATCTTGCACAAAAACAAAACACTGGCAAAATAATATCCTGTCTTCCTAGAATTCCTTACCTATATTCTCAGAAACTGGTTATAGCCTGGAAAGGGAAAACGCTGTGAAACTTGGGTAACTTTATTGTAATCCTGGAACCTACATGTCACGTTAATATACCCATAGACTCCTATGTAAAAGCTGTTGCAGTCTGCACTTACTCTTCTCCTGTAGCTCTCATGAATCATACATGTCTGCATTTGCTGACTGCTAAAAGCATCACCAGTAACTACAGTATTTCTCCATTTCCTTCCATTTACCTTTTATTCTGGAAATGAGTGCCATTTTTTTGTGGAGTCAGTTGTTGGTGGGGTTGTTTGGTTTTGCACTTGCATTGCACTATTAAGAAAAAGGATTGTGCATTTTCTTCTCACAGCAAAACCCACATAAATGTAAGGAAGGTAGTAATGAGGTGGAGGAACATTCAAAATTCAGCACTAGAATGGGTAAAATGTCCTAAGTCATTCCTCAGATTGAACTTCTCTGGAGGTATTTGGCATATACATAAAGTATATGCTGAACTCCAGCTTGAAAACTTTACTGGTACTTTATGGCTATATTTTTAAGGCCAGGTATTGATGTTGTGCAGTTACACAGCTCTGCATAGACACCTGCTCATGGACAGTCTGTACCTTGGGTGAGTCCTGGCTCCAGGGCAGCAATTTGCAGCTCCACCAGCCACCCTGCTGTTTCTGAGCAGTACCAGCTGCTGGCCTTCATTAACCTTCAACCTAAGTGACCTTAAGGAGTAGGGCATAGATTTGTGTGAGTTTTTCTTTCTCAAGTCATAGTTGGTTAGCAGAATGTCTTTTTACCTGTTCACATACTATATGGGCTCTTTCTACACAGTAAGGTGTTACATCCTCTTTCAAATGAAATAAGTCAGGTTTGAAAGTAACTGAAACAGTGGGGTTGCCTTTCTCAGTCTTTATTTTCAACAACAACATTATAAATTAAGTAATGATTTTCCCACTTGCCAGATTATGAACCCACTGTGCAATCTGAGAACCAAGTAGGATTTTTTTTTCCCATTTTAAGAAGAGGTCTGAGAAAAGAAGTCTCCAGATCTGGCCAAGCCTTTACAGAACTTGCATTTATTTCTTCCAACAATCGTTATACTGCTTTTTAAAAACAAAACAAGCAACAAAATACCTCTGGTCTTTGAGCAGTCTCTACAGATTTCCATTACAGTTCAGAGTGCAATCTTCTGTTCTTCTGCAGTGACTTCCCATAGTCTTTGACATGGTGATTGGTTTGGGTTGGGTTTATTTCTCTCCTTTTACCTGAAGTGAAAATGAATGGTGTTTTTTCTTTTAATAATTAAAAGTTTATGGAGGAACTCTGCAGGATGCATTAGGCTGGGTGCAACCTGCAGCCTGAGGGAAACCCCCCACCTGTGCAATGTTTTTCAGAGCAGCAAACTCCATGTACTATTGACTTTTAGTGCCCAAGCAGAAAAACCACTAACATCTGGGTTTTAAAAGTTTCTATTTTTGTGTCCAAGTATAACAAATCTTTTCTAAATAGCTGGGCTGAAATTCTTAAAGGGTTTTTAAAAAGTAATAAAGTGGCTGTATTCCATCCACAAGTGAGATGTGCTTCCTTTACCATGCAGGAGATCGCAGCAATCAATGTCCTGATGGGTTTGGTTTGGACTCAACTGGGCCTTACTGCTCAGGTAATGATGTGACAAGGGTGTGGTTTGTACTCACAGACTCAGACTGGTTTGGGTTGGAAGGGACCTTAAAAACCATCTAGTACCAACCCCCTGCATGGACAGGGACACCCACTAGAGCAGGTTGCTCAGGGTCCCATCCAACCTGCCCTTGAACACTTCCAGGGATGGGGCATTCAAAACCCATTTCAGTGCCTTGCCACCCTTGCTATAAAATTTTTAGTTTAACCTGGCCCTTGACCAGGGCCTCTGCAGGCCCTGCTGAAAAGGCTCTCCATCTTTCTTCTAAGTCCTCTTTACATGTTGAAAGGCTGCTCTAAGTTCTCCCTGGAGCCTTCTCGTCTCCAGGCTGAACACCCCAACTCTCCCAGCCTGTCTCCAGAGCAGAGCTGCTCCAGCCCTTGGAACGTTTTTATGGCTTCCTCTGGACTCACTTCAACAGGTCCATGGTTGTCCTGTGCTGGGACCCCAGAGCTGGATGCAGAACTCAACCCCTAGAATCCACCCTACTTTTACTTAGAATTAAAAAGCATGCAGGACATACTTAACAGTTACCACTGATAACAGGGTGTGGATCCAGAGGCAGACAGAGTCTTCTCTTCTTCTGTACTTGTCCAGAATCTAAGCAGTGCCAAGACAGCTTTTCAGCAGTACCTCAGATACAGCTGGGGGACACTGAGCCACAGAACTGTTGAGCCTGCAAAGCAGTGAAGCACTTACATGATCTGTGTGGAGGGAAGGATGAGTGTTGGCAACCCAGGTGACAGTCCACAAGTTCCTGCTTGGGGGACAGAGGTGAAAAGGTTATGAGCATTTCAGCTGCCCCATCTAGATAACTGATTCACATTTGGTTTAGGGCATGATCATTGCCAAATCCACTTATGGAGCCACTGTGAGCTCTACCAGATGTATCCCTCACATGAAGGGTGTGTTTGGTACCGTTTCCTGTCAAGTCTTGTAAAGTCTCACTGGTTTTTCAAACTTTTCCTTGTTCCAGATGAAGATGAATGTGCTCTGCGAAATCCTTGTTCCCATACCTGTCACAACACCATGGGATCTTACTACTGCTCCTGTCCAAAAGGCCTCACCATCTCTGCAGATGGTAGAACGTGTCAGGGTAAGATAAGTGCTGCTGTGGATACAAAAAGCCCCATGACACTAAAATCACTAGGGAAATGTTCTGTTCGGGCTGGGCCATTTTGTAATTATAAGAATGTAATTTATTTGTGGTATTCCAGTTATTTCATATCTGAATGTATCTGCAATTAAGTATTTGATAGTTGATCATGCTCAAGACACTGCTCAATCTGTTTCATTCTGCCACAGTGAGGCTTACAGCTTGTTTTTAATCACAGATATTGATGAGTGTGCCTTAGGTGGACACACCTGCCACGCTGGCCAGGACTGTGAGAACATCATTGGCTCGTACCGCTGTGTGGTGAGATGTGGGAGTGGCTTCAGGAGAACAGCTGATGGATTTAGCTGCCAAGGTATGGAAAGGTTTGGGGTTTGGAGGTAGCTTTCATTAGCTGAAAATGCACACAATGGAAAGTAACTAAGGTGTCTATAAAATGTCATTATTAAGGTTATGGGTTTGGGGTTTGGTGGTTTTTTTGTGGGTGTTTTGGTTGGGTTTTTTTTTTTAAAAAAAACACATTTGCTTTTTCCATCTTTAGAAAGAAATTTAAAATCCTGTCAAGGAACAGCCCCACGTGTGTTCTCTTTCACAAAGAAGTAAACACTTCAGAACACACCTCAGCAGTGCAATACCTAGAGCTCAAAGCAGAGTCCAGGATGTGTTCTCAGCCTCAGCACTGCTCAGGTACAGGATGACATTCCCAGCTGTGGCATCACAGGTCTCTGTTGTTCCACAGATGTGAACGAGTGTCAAGAGTCCAACTCCTGCCATCAGCGCTGCTTCAACACCATCGGCAGCTTCCACTGTGGGTGTGAGCCAGGATTCCAGCTGAAGGGCAGGAAATGCGTGGGTATGGATCAGCTTTGCAATGTCCTTTCTAATGGACCTAGTTCAGCATTTCTTTGTTGCTGTGTTTCTTATTGGAAGCCTTTATGAATTAAAATCCTACTATGGCTGATAACTTGGTAGGTATTTCTGAGATTGTACAGCAGAGGTAAAAGCCAGAGAAAGAGGGAATTGGGCTGACGTTGGGCGTCCAGTGCCATGGAATGCATTCAAAGACACCTAGACAGTGTAACTACAGCTGGGTTGTTCTGTTCCTTTGGAATTGAGCGTAAGAAAGCAAGTTCATTTCTATTCTTGTTTGTTTGATTTTATTGTTGTTTTTTTTTCCCAAATAAGATGTGAATGAGTGCAGGCAGAATGTATGCAGGCCTGATCAGCTTTGCAAAAACACCCGTGGTGGCTATAAGTGCATTGATCTGTGTCCCAGTGGAATGACCAAAGCAGAAAATGGAACGTGTATTGGTGAGTTGAAGTGTTCATGTACATGCTGGTGAGCACAGGCACAGTGATGAATGGAAAAAACAAAAATTGCTGGGGCAGTCCATCTCCATTTACTAGGATTTGCACATATTAAGGCACCAACATTTTTCCTCTTATGGGAACATGAGTGTAACTCTTTAGTAAATGATATTAAAAGAACAGATGTATCCTTGCTACTTGTAGTTTTCCATTGCTTTTAAGAAAGAACAGTAAGGTTTTCCAGCACCTTTTCTTCATTGTTACTTTGAATTCTAGAAGCTGGTCCTTGATTGGAATGTTTTGCCCATGTGTGAATGTGGGGGCAGAAAACTCTGCTTTCAGAGGCCTGATCTGTCTAGGAGACCAGGTTCACTTGTGGCTTAACTGCGTTCCTTATACATCAGTAAGTCTGAAGCTGTCAGAAGCTTCAGGAAGAATCTGACTGCTTCCCCTCGTTGCTGGCAGACGTCGATGAGTGCCGGGACGGGACCCACCAGTGCCGCTACAACCAGCTGTGTGAGAACACCCGAGGCAGTTACCGCTGCGCGTGTCCCCGGGGACACCGCTCCCAGGGCGTCGGCAGGCCTTGTGTGGGTAAGCTCTGCAGGCATGTCTGCTGCTGCTGCTGCTGCCTGGCCTTCCTGCTGGGGCAGATCCAACAGTGCTAACCCATTTGAAGTCTATGCTGTGTAGACAGATGTGCTCTGAAGTTCCAAATTACCCATCTAAACCAAAATGTCCCATCCGAAGATCATAGCCCAAACCAAATTATTCCAAATGGAGATTCTGCTGGATCCATACTTGGAAAACAAAGCGTACAAGGGTCTTGGAGCACTGGTGGATGGATGTGCAAGCTGTCACTCTGCAAGTGGTTTCATTTGAAAAATCAGGTCAGCTTTGCTGGTGACTGGATGTGCCTGGCTGTTCCCTGGCCTGTGCTGATCTGCATCCGTAGGGGAATGTGGATTCCCCTAAAGGAGAACACCCAAAGTTAGGGTGTTGCAAGAGGCCCCACACACCCAGAACCTCCACAAGCAACCAGCACAAATGCCTGTATGTGCTGCTGGAGTTTCCAAGGGTGGGTGCAGCAGAGGAGGCTGATGTGTGGGTGTCACTCAGCACCCTCTTTCTGGTTTGGGTGGATCACAGGGGGAAGGAGAAGTCCTGCCACTCACAGCAATGCTGACCGTGCAGTTACTGCCCCGTGCTGTCTGCCTAGAAGCTTTTGGCATGAAAACATGTGGAGCTTTCTCCCACTCACATGTGTAGCTTTGGAAGGATGTTCTTGGAACTCTAACTTGCAGAGCTTGAGTTTAACATGTGGTGTCCATGCGAGTGCTTCAAACGCCCTGGCATGTCACAGGCTTCAGGATGGCACCAGGATCATTGAGATTCGCCCTTTCTGTATTTATGTGGAATATTTAAAATGTTATAGCTGATCCACCCTGATAATGGTGATGCATGGTTGGTATATGACACTAACTGAGGTTGGTTTCAGTTGCTCTCATGTATCATCATATTGGGGAAGCATTCCTTCATTAATTCTTCAAGAATAGCTTTCCTAAGTGAAAAATAGCTGTTCTGGAGAATAGGTTTTGGTTTTTCTTTTTAGGCACCCTAGGATTTTGCACTACCAAAAGCCAGGAGTGGGCTGGGTTTTTTAAGAGAGATTTAAGTCACAGTAAGAAACTGTTTGGCTGTAGACCAGGATGTTACTTCCACCAGCTGCCTCTACTGAAATAAAATCAATCCCAGACTCCTTAATATATATTAAACCCACTTAAATTCCTGCCATTAATAAACCAGATAAAGCCTAGACCACAGATTTTCAGAAGACACTAGGAGCTGCCCTGCAGCTGCTCTCTAACTGAAGCACAGTATTCCCATGAACATTGTTGGGCCCCACCATGGGTGGAAGGGCACCACTAGAAGCTGTTGTAGATCATTTTTGCACGTAACACGTGCAAGGCAATCTGGAATTTAAAATCAAATATTCTTCTTCAAATCACAGCCTGAGAATTTCCCTCGTTTTGTTTCAAGGTGATTTCTTATTGCTCCTGTAAATACTTAATATCCATAGTGTGTAATCCAAGGGGTTCTGTCTAGTGGAAAAGGGTTTTCCAGTGAGCCAGGGACAGCTGGTATGTCAGTTCAAGTGATTTGCTGCTTTCCCTTTTGGTTGTATTGCACAGGCTGCTCCTGCAAAAGAAACTTCTCCAAGTTTCACCTATTTTCTTTCAGCATTTCTACATTAGTCGCCTATTAGTTATCCACACCTGGTTCCAAGGACTACATCTACATGGGCTGTAGATGTTAGAGCACATGCATGTTGTCTGTTCTCTGCAGGGAAAGAATGTTAAACTCAGCACTTAGAAAATAGTTGAGTACTAAGGAAATAGTGAGTGTTCTTTTACATTTGTGTGAGTAATATGTTTTTCATCTGGTGCACACAATGAAGGCCTATAAACTTAAAATCCCTGTTGGTTTTGGCCGTGTTAAAAATTACATTCTCTAGTTTATAATCCATGACAATACTACCCTAATGATATTTCAAGTAATATATAACTGCAATACTCTGCAATAATTAATTACCCCTGTATTTCCAACTTTCAAAACATGTAATTATTAATAATCCCCAAAAATATTAAAAACCATAATTTATAAAGATTATGCATTTAATTTAAATGAAATCTAATATTCTACTACATTTCAGAACAGAAATAATTAAAACTTTACTGAGTCACCAATAAGATCAGCTTTAAATTCTAGTAAAAAAAAGTTTCTGATATATGCCAATTATAGATACATTTATATGTATCCTGATATCAAGTTACTTATTTATGGTCATTAGCCATTTTTTGTTGTCTTCTAGTAAGGAATGAATGTAAGTTTGAAAAGGAACATGGTGCATGTCAAATTGTCAACTGGGCCTGTAGCAACTCTCTAAAAATTTTAGGAAGTTTGTTTCTGGTCATGTCAGAGAGCCTGTGGGGAAAGACCCAGTCCTGCAGTATCCAAGAGTTCTCTTATTTACTTGATTTTGAGTGAAGGACACTCATCTTGTTATATCCTTAAACCCTTTGCCACACTTAGGATACTCACCACTCTGTTTTGCTTTAAGGATGGTATTTACTGCTAGGCCTGGACAGGTTTGGATTACAATTTTAAGGGAAACTGAGCTTAAAAATCAGCATTTCTTAGGAAAGCAAAAATAATTCCATTTTTTAATTGTACAAAATTGAGTTAATATTTATTGTTAAGTCTGCAACCTTTCATAGCTGGAATAACCAACAACAACATGAAAGGTTAGAATGGCCCTGACCACCTTCCCCTGCAGCCCTGTGACATATCCTTGGGACCTGATTTTTCCCTTAATACACAGTAACAGTATAAGAGCTTTTCCAGCTTCCCTCCATGCCAGACTGAAGGAATTTCTAAGCTGTGCTCCTCAGTAATGCTCCATGTTAAGTATTCTCCAACAGCTTCTCCCACTCACCTGTAGTCAGGTAAAAAACAAGTAGTCAGGTAGCAGTGAGCAGCTTAGGATGACCACGTGGGGTCCTTGGGGACACTTCTCAGAGCACATCCTTTCTGGTGACCAGCAGGAACCAGCAGCTTTCCAGCTGTCCCACAGCTCTGCTTCTGCATAAGCAAGGGAGCAGCCTGGATCCCCCTTTTACAGCCACCCCCGAGCTGCCCTGGCGCTCCAGGCAAAACTCCAGAAGACTTTTTGTCCCACGTGAGCACAGGCTTAGGTCAGAAGTAGCCTCAAATGAAGAATAAAGGTGAATTACTGTATAGGACAGAATAACCTGCCTGCCTGGCATCATGTTCTCTGTATTTTACTGCCTTCAAGTTCTCACTTTTATGTCTTCAGTTTGTTCCACAGCCTGAGATAAGTGTATTTGTCTATCTGTACATATAGTTATGTGTTGTTTGTTTGTTTTTTCTCCTTTCCACATGGTTTGTTGCTCTGGATCATGTCACATGAGCAGACATTAATGAATGTGAACAAGTGCCTAAACCCTGTGCATTTCAATGCACCAACACCCCCGGCAGCTTCAAGTGTGTCTGTCCACCTGGACAACATTTATTAGGTGATGGGAAATCTTGCGCTGGACTGGAGAGATTGCCCAGTTATGGTGCCTATTACAATAGCTATAGCTATGCTCAATTCTCCCCTGTGAGAGACAACAATCAACCTCAACAGTATTACAGGCACTCCTCAAATCTCTACAGCTCCTTCTCAGAGTATAGAAACAGCAGAATACCTTTCTCCAGGACTAGAAGGAACATTAGAGAAACTTGTCCTGAAGGCTATGAGGCAAGAAATGACAGATGTGTAGGTAAATGTCAGTCATATCTATGCAATTCTCTTGTTTTGGTCCTTATTCTTAGGTTACTCTTTCATATGTACCAGGGGCTGATGGTTTGTGGTGCTTTGTTGTTGGGTTTTTATGTTACCCTGATAAAAATTCAGAGAGTTCTGCATGTTCTCATCTCCTGCGCATGTAGCAAAAACGTTTTCAAACTTCCTCATGTTGACCTCCTGTTTTGATTGTGCACACTGTTACGCTTTTTCTGCTGTTGATGGTGGCTCCTTTGTGAATTTTCTCACATGCTTGAAAAAAAGAAAAAAAGAGTAAGACCCAGTCCAGCCCTGGGGACCTTGTTGTGTCAGACCCACTGATGGTAGCAATAATTGGTTCAGAAAGGTTTTGAACAAGCACACTGTGAGACCAACAGGAAACAAAGGTATTTGGCATCTCCAAGTGCCAAGCATTTAGCTCACTTACTCCTTGAGCTTTTCCTGAGGTTCTTTCAGTGAAATGCTGCTGTTTTCACAGGAACTAAAAATTCAATAAGGGAATGTCGAAGTGAACAGTAGCCTGTGCTGTTCACTGACTGATTTGTACTGCATGTGAAGAGATTAAGAAGTTAAAAAATACAACCAACCAAAAACCCCAACAAAGTATTGCTCAACAATTAGATTGTTAGAATTATATAGAGATTCATCATATTTTGAAAAACTTTATTAAAAAGTTTTAGATAGGCAGACACCAAACCTTGTATTTGGCATTTCTAAAGGCATTTCAGTAGCCCTGTACATGCAGTTTGTTCTGGCTGTAGCAGTTCAGTTGTAAGACTCAGGAATCCAGCTACCACTGAAGAAAGGGTTCAGTTAAGGTCTGTGACCTTTACGCAGCTGACAGTTGGAATTAATTCATATCCTTGTACTTCTGTTTCATGGGGATTAACAACTGAATTTAAAAATTACTATTTAGTATGAAAAATACACCCAGATAATGTTTTTTTAAAAAGAGAAAATTATTTTAAAATATTTTGAATTGATAATAACATAATACATTTCTACAGTCACATCTGTTTGTCTTCTGTGTTTGCATTTTTATGAAAGGCAAGCCCTGTACATCATGTAGAGGGGAAGCAAAGACCTTCTTCCACTGTTTTAATCACGCAAGCCTTGACTCTTGCACAGGATTAACCTGAATAGGATCTTCATTGCTCTCCTGAATTAGGCAGATGTTTTAAAAGACATTATAATCCTATGTGATCTGTGTCTAAACCCCACTAGTCTGCTTTGGAGATTTTACATAAAGTGGTCTGATACTTCTGTGTTTGAGAGTGGATAAAAAAAAAAAAAAGAAGAGCATTTATTGATGCTGATACTGAGCTTAACTTATCCCTGTGGCATGGGGAAGATCAGTTGGGAAGGGAAACAGCTTTGCCCAAGGGATTATCTGTAAGAAAACTCCCTGACTCTCAGCCCTGGCGAGATGCCTGAGCTGGACATTCCCTTTCCATGTTGCCTACACCTTATCAGCAGGCAGCTCAGCTCGCTGTGGGGGCAAGACTGTGTGTATGACCTTGGTGTGTGCAGATTGCACAACCCCCTTTCTTCCCAGAACTCCATCTCAGGACAGGTCTTCCCAGTTAGAATGTGTAGTAAGGCTACTATCAAAAGAGGTGAGGACTTTAATTATCAAGAAGTTTTAAGGAATGGCACAGGTAAGGTGTGAGAAGACTTGCCCAGTCTTAGACATTCAACCCCATCAGAAAACCAGCTCCATATATTTTTCACCACCTCTGTCCCTACGCTCATGTATAAATAGGACAAAAAATACCTTGGTTCAATACCAGGTTCAAATGATGCTGATGTGTACGTGTTCCTGTTTCTTCCCACAGACATAGATGAGTGTGAAACCAGAGATACCTGCCAGCACGAATGCAGAAACACCCTGGGAAGTTACCAGTGCACTTGTCCATCTGGTTACCGCCTGATGCCCAATGGCAAAACCTGCCAAGGTACAGAGGTCCCTCTGAGCGTTCAGAAATACAGCTGTAGATAGAGAAGATGCAAATCATTTTCAATACATGCACAAGCCACCTCTTTGAATTCACTGTATGAGATTGGGCATTCAACGTTTCAGGTTTCATAAGTTTTTATATTTCACATTTTAACGCTTCACAAAACACCAGCAAATGAGACAATTGCACCTTCTTATTCTCTGAAGTTTCTGCCTTACGCTACATGTTTAACTCCAGGCAGCCAGACAGCAGCTCTGGGGTAAACCATATATATCTGGTTAATTCTTAACCCACCCCTGTCCAAAAAAGCTACTATCAGATTTTCTGATCCACAAAGATACCCCATAAAAAAATGAACCAATTAGTCTCTCTTGACAAGACACCTGGTTTCTGCTGGATCATGGCTGCAGGGCAGCTCAAGCACGATATTCCATGCAGTAATAAATGCATGTTACTGGCACTGCTGGCTCCAGCATGTCCAACAGCAAGACTGGATCCTGAACAGTTTCCCTGCGTGCAGAGGTACATGCTGTGTTCTGCTCAGCTTCTACTGGCTCAGCTACAGCTACTTTTAACTGTTAAATTTATCCAAGTACCAGCAGCTGATCATTTGCCTGTTATTTACATTCAGATATTGATGAATGCCTCGAGCAAAACATTAATTGTGGACCAAATCAGATGTGTTTCAACATGAGGGGAAGCTACCAGTGCATCGACACACCTTGTCCACCCAACTACCAGCGAGAGCCTCTGTCAGGGTACGTTGTGTTTTCAGCCCCTTTTCACCCACCCCAAGCTCAGATCCTTTACCTGTTTTTGTCAGGAGAAACTACAGCTAACTTTGACACCAGTAAGTCTCATGCCAGCAAAGGTGTCTGTTTGGGCACTGTGCCCACATTCCTTCTGCTGACCTGGTCTCATGTCACCTCCAGGGCTGCTTTTGCATATGAGGTTTCTGACTTCTCTCAAGGCCTAATTTACCACCTGTTTCAAAGCATTTTAAATATTTTTCTAGTCATGAAATAATGACTTTGTTAGTAAGCTTTATTATTTTTAATTTCTTTATTTCTGTGTTCTGGAAAAAACATATTAATTTTGAAAATATTTTAATATACTAAAGGAAATAGTGTGTTCCATAGTGAATGTCTCTTGTGATCAAGCTGAACTAGGATGACACTTAAGTTGAAGTGGCTTAATGTTCTTTGACCTCTGTTAGCACCAATGAGCAGAGCTAAGAGATACTGCCTACTTTGATTTATGATTAACAGAAGTAACACTTCATAATTCCAAATCCTTAATGGTCTAACACACAAACACCTCAAATGGAGCTGCCTAGTACATCTTAAAACAACCTTTCCAAATCTAATGTTTAAGAGCAAGGTCACTAAAACGTGCATCATTGCCTTCAACAACAAATACTATATCCAATGTCTTTACCTCTTGGCACCCTGAGTTTCCCTGCTGAGACAAAATGAGACCTTAAACTTGCCCCCATCTTTAGAGGAGCAATGGATAAAGAGTGTATGAGCCTATTATCTTTACAGAGAAATTTACATCACACAGCAGGACAAACAGGAAGAATTTATCTTTTAAGACCTGCTTACCATACTGTGCCTTCTCCCTGGGCTGACGTGCTCTGCTCGTTCCTAGGTTCTGCCTGAAAAACTGCCCGGCCAATGACCTGGAGTGTGACCTGAGCACCTACGCCTTGGAATACAAGCTCCTCTCCCTGCCCTTCGGCATAGCTGCCGGCCAGGATCTCATCCGCCTGGTTGCCTACACCCACGACCAAGTCATGCACCCAAGAACAACGTTCTTGATGGCAGAGGAGGACCCAGCAGTGCCCTTTGCCCTGAGAGATGAGAACCTGAAGGGCGTTGTGTTCACCCGGCGGGCGCTGCGGGAGCCCCAGACGTACCGCATGGCGGTCAGAGCCCTGTCCTACGGCGCCGACGGCAGCGTTGAGTACCAGACAACTTTCATCCTTTATATCGCCGTGTCAGCCTACCCCTACTGAGCACCCCACCATGGGCAGCACCCCAGCATTTTAGCCACGTCCCTCAGTGCCAGTGGGTATCACCACTTCCAGACTGACTCTGCTGCCTGCCACGCCCTCGGGAACCATGTCACTTGAAAATGGTGCTAAGCTCTTTTCCCTGTCCCTCCTTCCCCAAGGCTGCCTGTTCTGTCCCATGATTCCAATTCAGGAGGAAAATTTGGGGTTTTGACGACCTGTTACCACTTGCTTTATTTATTACACTGGAGTAGTCATATTTTTCCACAGTTTGTTCTGAAACCGAAGTGTGAGCTGAAGTTTGTGGTCAAAGCAGTAAGCAAGGAGCAACCTCTGATGAAAGCAACTACAGAAATGCCTAACCAGAAGAAAAAAACACGGCATAATTTCAAGTGGTCTACATGTTTTAAAGGTTGCTAAATGTTTTACAATTTTATATCTACTAGGGTTTTTTTCTTATCCAATACCTGATAGAATTAGGGCTGTAATAGACTATGGCGAGTGCTCAAAACAACAAGTACCACTGTCCCTAGTGGTTGCAAATGGTGAAACAAATTGTATTAAAGTGTTTTCAGCTAAAGAATCTACAGTAGAATTTGGAACTGGTGCATTTGATGTCAGTTCAAGTTGAGAAATGTCACTTTTTTGAAAGAAAAAGCAACATGGCTACTTCTACTTTATGCAGCAGGTATTTTATAACTTTTGGTTTTTTTACTCTAATGTTCTGGTATAGCCATTTATTTAGCTCAAAACCATATCCATTTCAGTATCCCCAGGTCAGTTAAAATGTTTTGGGTTTTTTTGCAAATGGAACATTTGTCTCCAAAGATGATCGAAGTTTGGTTCAGTAATGTCAATACACTGTACACAAGTAATTTTGCCAAGATGTATTCTATTTTTATGAAAGTGTATATATGATTTTTCCTATGTGTTTTTTCTATGCAGTATCTCGAGAGTGTTTTACAGTTAAGTTTGCATAAAAGGACAACGTCAATATATGGAAAATAATAAAAAAATAAAGGTTCCCATTGCCTTTGAGGTTTCTGTGAGTTGTATCACTGAAAAAAATGCTTTCCCATTTGTAAAGCACTTGCCTTCAGTGCCAGCAGGGGATGCAGAAGGTAACTGGGGAGCAGTGGGCACAGATGCAGCCCAGGCTCCTGCTTGTTATGCTACCGGCTTCTCCACATCCTGCAGTTGGTTGTTTTTTTTTTAAAAAAAAAGGGAAACCAGTGCACTCACTGTAAGAGCTCTTCTCTTATCCAGAGCCTACTAGCCAGGAGACATCTCACATCCTCAGAAGAAATTGCTAAGAGTTAAATTTTTGCTGCATGTAAAGACAGTGTTTATTCATAAATATCCTCAACTTGTTGCCAAACGTGAAATAGTTACTGTCATTCCAGTGCATATGAACAGATCTGCAGCAGTTCCCTGGCTGTGGTGGCCAGGGGTGGGCTCCCCAGGGGGTGCCTGGGGAGGGAGGGGCTGTGGTGGCCTCTGCTCACTCCCAACAGTGTTCCTGTGTGTGCTGGGGAGGCCGTGTCTCTGGAAGTCTGGCAGAGGGGAAGTTGGGCTGGGTGGCTTCCTGGAAGGGGACAGTCCCAGTGGGTGACTGTAGGAGCTTTGGGAGGAGGTCACTGCTTTACTCAATACAAGGCTTATTCTGTTCTTACCAAGGTTGTTCTGCTGAGCAGCACAGTAAGAACCTGCCTTCAGCTTTACAGGCCAGGTGGATATTTCTTTCTGCCTCTGTCCAGGCACTGTGTTGTGCAGAAAACATCAAATCATAGAATGTGAGGGGTTGGGAGGGACCGCTGGAGATGATGGAGTCCAAACTTCCTGCCAGAGGAGGAACACCTAAGGCAGGTCACACAGAAATGCATCCAGACAGGTCTTGAAAGTCTCCAGAGAATGAGACCCCTTGAAATAAAGCTGTAACTCTCCTGAGAGACTGGGAGAGGGTTTAATGCTGATCTTCACCCACCAACAGACTAAGAAAAAAGCAAACAAAAAGCCTGCTCCAGGATTTCCCTTGAGACCACAGGACATATCACATGTCTGTGGCCTTCAGGAAGTCTGGCAAGTCTTGGTCATTGTGCAGGTGCAGGGCAGAGTTCTAGCAGAGCAGTCCTGCTCCAAGCTTTAATACCCTGAGAATTGTTTTGTGGTTTGTCTTCTTGGTCTTGTGTTTCGTCAATAGCTTCTCTGCCTAAAACACTGCTTGGCAGCTGAGCTGAGGTGGCAGAGCTGACTGTACTGTGTGGAAGCTGCTGGCGTTGCACGTGTGAGTGGGTGTATCTCCTGCACAGAAGGTCTGGGGAAGATGGGCATGCCCCGTACAAGTAAGAGAATTCAGATCTACTGATTTTAGTATTATGTTATCTTTCAGGCAAGGATTCCTATCAGCTCTGAGCAGAATTTGCAGTATGGCTGGCTGGCTTATATGCTGGGAGACAGAGCTTCAAAGAAGTTCACTGAATAGAGCCAAGTCTGTACACCTTCTGGGAAGGGCAAAAAAGAGCAGGGAAACCAGGTGCAGATTATTTTCCCTATTTCTGCTATAGTTACTGGACTTTTAACAGTGTGAGTGTCATTCTTGTGTAATGAAACCAGCAGTTCTTGTCTGGAAAATGACTAGCTAGGCAGTGTCACAGAATGTGAAGGGTGTATAGATAAGGGGAGCATAAAATGATGGTGAGGCCTGAGGTGATGATGGGAGGTTTGTCAGATCTGGGGGACACTTGTGTAACTGTGGTTTATTGGGGCTTGTGGGAAACTGTTCTTTTCTTCCCCACATCAGTCTAACCAAAAGGCCTTTTCAGCCAGCAGAGGCCTCTCCTGATCATTCCCTGCTCACGGACTAAACCAGACTTGCTTCTCAAGGACAACTGAACCCAAAACAACGGATGTGGCGCGGGACAGAAAGGCTGGGCCACAAGCCATCCTGTGCCACCCCCTAACTTGGGGCTCACGGACGCTCCTTGGCTCTGGGCAGTGACACTGCCTGGACAGGTGGGTCCCGGGGGTATCAGAGGCGGCGAGTGCAGCAGGTGGGCCCTTCCCTCCTCCCTGAGGCCCGTTTGGACGCTTTCTGCGTGGGACACCCCCTGCTGCGGGCACTGGTGCTGGGACCTGCCTGCCTGCCCTGGGTCCAGCCTGGGCCTCAGCGCTGAGCTCAGGGTCCTGAGCCCTGAGGTTGGGGCCGGAGCCCCCCGTGTTGCTGCCGCTTGAGGGGAAACCAACGGCCGCTGCACCCGCTGCCGAGAGGCCGGCCCTCCCGCCACAGGGGGGGGTGG